GTTCGATTCCCAGCTCGTCCAAAAGAAGCAGGCAGCTGTGGTGGTAAGATGGGATTCTCTTTTTGGCTTTTTCGATGTTAATCTCTTTTTGCTATGTTGCAGAGGATACCGTTCGGGAGTTCTCTTTTTGAACCACGGGTATCAAAATTGGATGGAAGATATCGCTCTCTTGGTATTCATTGCTCTACTGAGACTATCATCAGCTCTGGTCTACAGCAACACCACCTCCCATCATTTCTCCCCTTTCTCAAATGCAGACAGAGTTCACAACTTACTCTCCTTCCCCTCCTCCTTCCCATCAATCAAAACGACCAGCTTCCCAAACTGTCTCCCCTCTTTCATCTCTTCAAACAATTCATCAATCCCCTTCAAATTATCCAACCCCTTCACCACCTTACTAACCACCGGTCTGATCCCCTTCTCCCTTACAAACCTCACCATCTCCTCAAACTCCTTCCTGCTCCCCATCGTGCTCCCCTTCAACTCCACATTCTTCAGCACAGCCTGCATCAACCAATCCATCTTCGGGCTAACCGTCATTCCATAACTCGAAATGATCCCTCCGCTCTTCAACAGCTTGACGCTCCTAGCCACGACATCCCCACCGGCACCATCCACCACCGCATCCAAGAACGGCCTATCCTTCGGCAGCTGTTTCAAAAGCTGTTTATCCCAGTCCTTCTCCTTATAAATGACTCCCCCCCGCGCACCCATCTTCTTCGCCTTTTCAATTTTCTCGGCATTACCGGACGTAACAAAAACGTTACACCCCAAGGCAACAGCAAACTGCAACACCTGAAGCGCCACACCACCGCCGATCCCCGTCACCAAGATATTCTGCCCGGCTTTGGCCTGCGCCTTACTAACCAGCGCTCGCCACCCGGTCAATCCAACCAAAGGCAGTGCCGCGCCCTCAGCAGCGCTAAGGTGTTCCGGCGCCAGCACGGCCTCCGCTTCCGGCACCACAGTGTATTCTTGCGCTGTGCCAGCGGGAGTCAGCTGCGCAGAGCCGATTACCGTCCATGGCTGGTTCGGGTCGTCGGGCCCATCAGGGGACGATATCCAGCCGCGCGAGGGGGTGATAAGCACCGGTTTTCCGATCAGTTGGGCGGAAGCGGAGGAGACGGCAGGGCCGGCGGCTTCGACGACGCCATAGCCGTCGGCGAGAAAGGGGTGCTCGAAGGAGATGCCCGGGTACAAGTGTTGGCGGATGAAGAGGTCGCGGTGGTTGAGGGCGCAAGAGCGCAGGCGGACGAGGAGTTCGCCGGGCCCGGGAGTGGGCTTGGGGATGGTGTTTAGTTGGAGGCTGTGGAAGGGGTGTGGTTAGTGATATGTTGATGATGTGATAAGACAAAGTTTTGGGGGTATAAGGAGAAAGGGAGAAAGGGAGAAAGAAAGGAAGGTAAGATGAACATGAGGGGAAGGAGACAACAAAAAACTTACGGGTAGTAAACCTGGCCGGGTTTACCGTCGATTTTCTTGACGGTTAATTGGAGAGGCATCTTGGCGTAGTTGTCCAATTCAATGAATGAATGAATGTCGAGGATCAACAAGTGAAAGAGTGAGATAATCAAACGGACATAAGAAATATTAAATGAATCGTAACACCACAGACATTATTAATCGACGGACCCTAGGAAGCGGCTAACCGGGCGTTGTCACTTTGTCATTCATCATTGAGCCTCCCCGGCCCTGACATCGTCGCCCCCACTTTCCCCCGCATTCGTTGCCGGACCCAACCCGATGATGCAACTGCCTCGGCCCGCGTGTGATGGCACCCCTTGTTCGAATCCGCCGGGGTGGAGCAGCCAAAGTTGTGGTTGCGGATCTGCTCCGCATCGGGCTTATCGCCGATCGTTCAAAGTGTCAACCGGGTTTGTGAATTGTTGGGGACTTTGGAAACTTGACTTTGAGGGTTCGAATTATCCACAAATTTCAAGAGCCGACAACATTTCTCGACCAAGACATGAGTTTCCACTGGCAGGTGTTTTCCGACAACTGTCCTGGACAGAGAAAATCGAATAACGAAATGACAATCGCTAGGCAGGTGCTTTTCGATAACCAGAATTTGACAAATGCTTTGTGTGAATTAGCAACCAGATGATTACCCTTGGATCCCGAAGAAGCAGGGAAAATCCGAAAATCGTCTGCTGAAGTATGGGTATCATGGGATTCCAGGATCCTTTCTCTTTCTCATCTTCTCCACCTCCATCCCCGGTTCTTTTTAATCGCTTCCACCACCAGCTCATTCGCTGCTCTTCTCCGTCTTCCTCTTCTTCACCTTCTTGTCCCCCGCCTCCTCGGGCGGCACGTACTCCTTCTCCCTCTCGCGCTTCTTCTCCTCCTTCTTCGCCTTGGCCTTCTCGGCGCGCTCCTGTTCGGCGACGCGCTGCTTGGCCTCCTTGCCGAGGAAGTACTCGCCGGACTCGATCTGGAGATCCACCTTGCTCTTCTCGGGTGCGGGCGGGAAGGGTGTGTAGTTCTTCTTGGCCTTGTCGCTGACGACGTGGGGGACGCGACGCTTGGAGAGCGTGCGCTTCTTGAAGTTGGGGAGGTAGCGGGACCAGTCTTCGTGGGCGAGGGCGGGATCCTTTGCGAGTTCGCGCTTGATCCTATTTGAGACGTTTGTTAGTACGTGTTGGCTGTCGCAAGTGGGTATGGTATGCAGGCGCAAAACTTACATCAACTCCTTAATCATGTAAATAGGGTGAACGTTGTTCATGGTGTCCTCGACAACCCTCCTGACCTCCTTGAGACCCTTGAAAGGACCCATTACCGACACTGTGTTGCCGTGTACGAGAATGTATGTTTGTGTGAGAAGCTCGAGAGCTTTGAGTGTTGTGCCGTTCTGTCCGAGAATTCTTTGGCGTCTCTTGACGAATCGCTCCTTGTTCCGTACCATGCTGCGGATCTTGATGATGTCGCAGGCCATGCCGTCTTCGAGAATCTTGATCGCTTGGGGGGCTGGTACTGAACGGGCCAGCAACTTGATGAGATCGCGGGCGTTGAGGATGGCTGCGGGGTCGAATGTCTGGTGACATGAAGTTAGCAAAACGACCAGAGGCAAACGAGCGCATCATCATCACTGTACCTTTCTTGTTGTCTTTACTGTCATGGAACCCTCCACCAAATCGAGAACTGCGGTGATGCCTTGCTTGTCGAGGGCCTTGGTGATGAGAGGCCACGAGTCTCGTAGGTAACGCTCTCGGTACTTGGGGAAAAGGGTCATGAAAGAAGACTCCTCGAGGAAGGGGCCGGATGATTCATCCTTGGTGAAGGGGTCGACCTTCCACTTGTCGATATCGTCGGTATCCCACGGCTTGTCCTTGTTGTGTATGGACGGCATTTTGGGCGTTAAATGTGTCTTTTTCGGTCTTCTAGGATTGTCGATGTTCTGGAATAGTTCGAGGTTTCAGTCGATTGTGCAGCGACAGTTCACAATGTCGAGGCGAGTGCAGTTTGGTGGTGGTTGGATTTGATGGGTGGTTTGATGAATGGAATGGATGGCAAACATGGCCAGCCAGAATGGAATCGCGCTGCATGGATGGAAATTTTTGGAACGCAAGCCTGCCGCAGCTGGCAAGAGTGGGGCCCAGGGCTTCTTGCAGGTTGAGTTTCGGCTGCAGAAGCGCGACAGGATCAGCGGCCAGTTGGCAAATGCAGGGGCAGCTCCTTATCAGATAACGTTGTCTTGGTAACTTCACTTGCAAGTTGCGACTTTGAGGAAACTAGACTTTCCAGTTGGGTTAGACGACGATATCAAGGTTCAAAGAGCAAGACAGAAAACTGAGGAAAAAGATGAGACGGAAATTTTATTCTGCTAAGAGCATTCTTCCATTAACCAATCTGCGACTGCAACAAGCTCATGTTTTTTGCCATTTGCTTCTTTCAACTTTTTGTTGATGTTATCTTATCCGTACGCTATCTTATCATGACAGGGGACTGCAGTGCACTTCCCGTCTTCAAGCGCAATCCCCAGCACTCGCCAACAACACCACAGAAATCACATGTGTTAATGAAAAGTCTTGATAGAGGTAGGTATCGATAACTGGCGTCAAAAGCTTTTCGATATCATTGGGGCACAAGAAGACCTTCAGATCCCCAGCAAGACCATTGCGAAGACAGGGGTACAATAAACATCACCAGGAAATTGAAATTCATAGTACATGAGCTGAGGTAGTGGTGAAGAACCGAACACCGGGGCAAAGCTGAAGAAACGAACTCAATCCCGCCTTGATAAACATTGTAGTAAGGCTGGAGAGGCAACCACCAGATACAAACTGTAGAACCAGGAAATCATCGCACATTTGAAGAGTTATTGTCCAATTGAAAGCTAGCAAGGTTTGACGACCCTGGCGCGCTGTGGTCATCATAATCGGGCAAGTACAACCTGCACTGTGATACGCCACGGATTATGGTACGGCATTCCGTGCACGAAGTTTTGAAATCCTTCACTTTCAGCGTTCCGTCGGAAAGGGAAAGGGGTAGGTTCGGTTTTGTGTCGCCAAGGTGGAGGGCTCCTTCCTTGCAACTTTTTTAAACTTCTTTTCCTCTTTAACCCCGCGACGTTTTTCTCTCTTCACTTTCCCCTTCTCAGCCCTGTCTCAAACTCAAGATTTGAACTTCCAAGGTGTCGGTACTCGGTACATCCAAACAAGCTCGGACATTGGCTTGCCTCGTTTCGAAACCTCGACCCGACGTAGTCAGTCAATTGTGTTCCTCACCTTTCGCGACGTTGCCGATATTTGTGATCTATCCTTGGGAAGGAGAGAAAAGGAAAAGGAACAAGTCGGACAATCACAAGCACGGACGTCATTTTCTTGGACGTTGACTATCGACTACACGGCCGCCCTTCACTCCGCCTTGCGCAGTCTCGATCCCGAAGTTGGCAATCCCGGTCACGGGCCCACGGTCTCTCTCGAATCCACCACGAGTGGGTCAATTGGCACCGACGCCGCCTTCAACCGCCGTCAAGCTGGCTTCCACTGCTTCGACTCGGTCTCCGGGTCTTCCCCTTATTCATCCGCAATACCCAACCTCAACCTCATATACACCGCGCACCGATTTGGAGCTGCCTCCGGTCCGAGCCGTTATGATGGAGGAACCCACGACGCAACAACAACAACAACAACAACAACAACAGCCCGCGGCGGCATCCCCATCTTTGCCAATGCCGACCACTCTTGAACCCGAACCCATATCCCGACCGAGCTCGACGTCGACCCAAGGCTCAGCCCCGGGGCCTCAACACATGTCGCAGATGTTGCCCGGTATCGCATCCATTGCCACCAGCAACAACAATACCCCAGCGGCTACAACATCACCACAGCCCAGGTCAGTTCCCAGTCAATTGGACTCACAGATGGAGAGGAAAAGGAAGCAGTGGTACAAGGCGCATTGCATTGGTGGCTCTGTTGCTCGTTTCCCCCTTCACCTTGACATCTACATATAATCGCGATGCGCCAACTTTACTGACATTGCAATTGGTAGACCCGTTACCATGGCTGCTCCTCCCATGATTCCTCCAGGCACCTCTCCAGCTGCTAGCTCGCACCCGGGTCCAGGAGGCAATCTGGTAAGTTTTCTGTTCTTGTTTTGTTGGTGGTGTTGGGGTGTCTACATCATGTCCTGTTCGGCTTCCCTCCCCCCTTATCGCGTATCGCATATCCCCAATCGCGTCTTGCGACACAATCGGGCGTTTGGCAATGGATCAACGTCACGAAAAGCCATGACCACCGGTTTGCTGAGAATGGCAACGATTCCCATTGGCCAAGACGCCAGGTTCTGGTGGAATCGCTTATCTAAGCCCCTCCAAAGCCCGACCGGGTTGTTATCGCAACAGCCCACTTTTTCGTCGCCCGCCTGCCCAGTGCAGCGCCCCAAATGCGCCCCGTCAAAAAATTTCCTTATCATTCCGTGCTTCGTTCTTATCATCATCCCTCCACCTCCACGTCTATCAATCATACTTCCCGCATTTATTTATCAAGGTTGCCTTATCGCCAGCATCTAATCTTCTATCTCTCCCTCGATTACATACCCTCTATCATTCCCATCTCTTATCCGTCGTTAGCCCAACATTCCCGTCGCGATAGCCTCTACTCGTACTACGCCGTAGCCACACTCGCTGCCCAGCGCAACACCAACACCAACAAACACTAAACATGGCGACAATGGCTAATCATGATCGCGAAACCACACAGCCCACCTGCCAGAACTGTGCGACCTCGACAACGCCATTATGGCGCCGCGACGAGATGGGCCAGGTCCTCTGCAATGCCTGTGGTCTGTTCCTCAAGCTGCACGGCCGTCCTCGCCCAATTTCCCTAAAGACCGATGTTATCAAGAGCCGTAACCGTGTCAAGACCATGCGTCCCGATTTGGCCAAGCAGAAGAAGGTGAGTCGTTTATATCCGACCTGACAAGCTTCATTCAGCAGCTAACTAAAATGTCTTTGCCCAGCAACAGCAACAGCAGCAGCAGAACCTCGCTGCCACCGCCGACATGAACGGAGGAGTGGGCATGATGGATCCCAACAACCCTGCCGCCCAAGCTGCCCGGAGAGCATCCCAGAAGTCCATCAATGGCCATCCCGTCGACGATAACTCGCCCGTTTCCCGCACCGGCACCCCCAACGTATACAACCCGCACATTCCCATTGATCACAACCTCGAGTACCAATTCCAAGCCCAACAGATTTCCGGATTTGGCGTCCCGACTGCATCCCCCGGCCGAGCCCCGTCACCCATGAACGGCGAGCATATGCCACAAACCCACGAGCAGCTCCTTGCTGCCAATGCCAGCCTGAAGACCCGAGTCAGCGAATTGGAGGTCATCCAAGAACTCTACCGCGGTCGTCTTCACCAACTCGAGACGGAGGAAAACATTCGACAAGCTTCAGAGCCCGGCAAGCTTGAAGCTCAACTTCGCGCCCAGATTGATGCTATGGGTGAAGCCCACCAGCAATTGCAGAAGGAACTGGAGGAAAGCCACAGGAGGGAGAACATGCTCAAAAGACGCCTCGATGAGCTCGAGGTTGAGCTCAAGGACGTCAAGGAAGCTCTCGAATCTCACGACAATGGACGCCACAAGAAGATTCGTCTGGACGAAAACGTTAAGAGCGAGCCCCATGCCGAAGTTGTTGATCAGCACCAACAGCAGCAGCAACAGCAGCCAGCACCTGTAGAGCAGCCGGCCCCTACTCCTATGGTCATCGACGAACCTGTGTCTGTCCCTGCGCCAGAACCCGAGACAGTACCTGAACAGGTTCCAGCTCCCGCGCCTGAACCTGTCCAAGAACAAGTCCAAGAACAAGCCCAAGAGCCCGAGGCTGGACCCGTTAGCGAACCGACTGAAGCTCCAGCCCCTGTGCCAGAAACCGAATCTGTTCCCGAGCCGACCCCGCCGCCCCAGAGTCTGCTCCCGCCGAGGAGCCTGCCGCGCCAGAGGTTGTGCCCACAGAGGTGCCCACCGCTCCTGCCGCCACGGAAGAAGCACCCAAAGCGGAGGCATAGCGCTGTCACTGCCGCCAGTGCTTTGGCTCTTTTCCGGTGGACTGATGGACACTATTGCCCGAGATTTCCCTGTAACATATTTGGCTTGGATGGATGGGTGGGAAGCGTGTTGTGTTAATGATTTTTATACTGTCTGATCAGTCGACTGATAAATGGTTATGTGTTCGGTCAACAAAAAGGGGTACGGATGGTCGGAACAGGGTGACTTTGTTGGGATTGCGTTGATTGATTAATTACGCCAATGATCGCCACTTTGGTTGACTGGTTGGTCGGACGGGGTTAGGGAGCTATGGAGCTTTTGATTGAGCTTTTTCTTTTTCTGACGGTGGATGGATGGGCTTTACTCGAAATTTCTCCCTTTCCTGGTTCGAAATGTTTCTTATAATATACCTCTTGCTGGTCCATTTTGATGACCAGATGAGGTTGCCTTTTACGGTATCCCGACTTCTCTATATCCGTTTTCTGTGGTGTTTGTTTACCGTGGGTGGAGCTTCGAAAAGGGGTTAGGAACGAAAGATAAGAAGGCGTGTCTCAACCGATAAGAGGCACAGTTACAGTGGAGGGGAGGGAACCCGGAAATGTCGCTTCACTTCACTTTGAGTTTGCTTTTTCGGGTCTACGAAAGACAACAAAAGGAATGGAAAAGAGAGGGTGAATTGGAGTTCAAAAAAGCAGGGTTATTAAGGAAGGAAAACCAAAGATTACGAAAAAGATCAGCGGACAGTCAACGGGCAAAGACAAAGAAGCAACGGTATGATAGACAGTTTCAACCATGGTTTAGGTGCCATAGTTCGAAAATTTTCTTGTATCTAACATCCACGGGCAACATGACAACGACCATCATCTTCTCTCCTGCAGTTCCTATGTTTCTTTCGCCTTCGCTCCGGCTTTCCTCTCGCTACCTCTTCTCCTGTCACACGGGCATTTGCCCACAGTTCTGGGTTAGATGTTCCGAGGCTTAACAGAACCTCAACACTTTGCATTAGCCTTAACTGCCAATGGCGCTGAGCATCATCCTGAGGTTCCCCTTGCATCACGGGGCGAGAGGGCCCCGTTAGGGGCAGGGTGAGATATGCATTGTTATACAATGTGCATGAAAGACAGGTCAGCCCTTGCATGCGTACGTGCAGCTCCAGTGACTGCTGGGCCACAATGACGACCGGAAAGAGGCCGATGCTAGAGGAAAGAAGGAGAATGGGTGAAAAGCACTCAGGAAGATCCACATGAAGACCGCTAGATAGATACCTCGAGGCATTAGGCAACAAGGCTCGGTACGCACCTCAGTACGTACCACACCTATTTGGCATAAGAAGGCCTTGAAACCCAGCCTTTGGTTGAAGGTTGAAAGGATCAACAAGGCCTTCGAGACCAAAGTAGTTTATCAGCTGAATTGAACCCTTTGTTCCAAGCCCAGAACTCTGCCCTTGTCACATCTCCAACCACCCGACTCCATATAGCGCAACAAGATGGCGCAGGATATCTTACTGCCGACGGTCGATGGTAGGTTTATCCCGAATTCCCCGATGCTGCTGCTGCTGCTGCCTGGGAATGCCGTGACCTAGACTAGTCGCCGCTGAAGTTGTCTATGGGCAGGCAGAGGCAGACTGGACACCAGGGAGGGAGGTTGTAAAAGAAAAAGCCTGGTTAGGTACTCAAATGTGCGTGCTGGGAGAGGGGCAGAGGGGGTATCAACTCGGCTTTTTAACTTCTTGAAGAATCTACCCAGCGAGCCAGCTCACGGGGAAGTATGGGGGGCTTGTTATGTTTCCGACACGAATGGAACATGCTCGCATGCTCTGCAAGCCAACGCAGAAAGGGGCTTCTCTCCTTTTTTTTTTAGGGTTTTCCGAATGAGGGTCGGGTGTGTCGAGATGGACGCGTTAATCTGCCGTTGTTGTCGTTTGGTGGCTGATCAATACCCATTGTTATGTGGGAAACACCGAATCATTTCGTGGTTGTTCTGAAATCCGAATGCATCAACCAAGCCACATGGTGTTTATGTTCGTCCATGATTCAGTCAGACATTGGATGCTAAGGTACGTAGGTAAGGTAAGGTACCTCTTCTGGTGTAATGATGCTTGGTTGTACACAGCCTTTGGCGCCGACATTTTCCATTGGCGAGAGGACATTATGCTCTTCTCGGGTGACCATGTGGCCGTGTATGCCATGATGTAGCATAGTAGAGGCTGTGAGTAGTGCAAAATTCTTGGTTAGTAGGTTATTTTGATTATGTAGTGGTTGTTGATGAGAGAGAGCTCATATCTGCTACTGACCTCGCCCTTGAAGAAAGCGGCATGCATCTTGTACTCCGCGTCCAGTCCCCGTGGAGAAAACTTACCAGAAAGGTTCCCAGTCGAGGTGGTCATTGTTGTCTTCACGGTCGGTGTGGTCGGCCTTTCGATCGGATCTGCCGCGTCTCTTTTCGGCGGATGAGGATTTTGACTTCTTTGCCTTCTTGACAGCGGTACCGGTAGAGGGTAGAGGTAGGCTCTGCTTCTGCTTCTGCTTGAAGGTGACTCTGGAGAGTGCCGAAGTGATGGTATCGGCCAAATGGCGGAGTAGGGCAATTCTTGAAGGGCGCGGCATGGTTGCGATTTTCGATAAGAGATTTGATGATGTTTTTGAAGAAGAACCGAAGATGATGATGATCTGGATAGAGAAGGCCCAACTCGGCAGCCCAAGTGGGCGGGGAAGGTTGGATACCTATTTCTACCCTTGGGAACGAACCATTCCAAAAACCCATCGCAAATTCCCCAGGATGCATGCCGGAACAGGCCATTCTTCTGCCTGCATATGCACACATACCAGACATCAACGTGTACTTTCAAATCGGTCAATGATGTCTATGGTTTCAGCGACGGGCTGGAGTCTGGGAATCGAGAAAACCGTACCATTCTACCTTGTGCATGTGAAAAGAAACGTGTTCATGCGTGAGTCGGAGTTTGACAAACCAGACTCCCGTTCAAAGCTCCGGGCTCCTTGAGTGTCTGCCACTGTAACTACTGTCACCAAAATCCACATGCACAAAGAAAAGAAACCTGATCATAATAAGAACTGTCAAATCAAGTGCGGGCTTACGTCAACGGAAAAAGGAGAAAAAAAACCAACGACTCAAAGTACAAAGTCAAATCTCAGCGGGTACCTGTAAGGTACCTACCGTAGAAACTCGAGTAATCCGCCGAAGCCCCCCCATATTAATGGGCGGGCAGAGAGCAGACCTGTGCAAGTAGCTGGCAGGATTAGGCCGGTCTTGTATTTACAAATGTGTGCAAATTAACGTTGAGAGCAATTGCCCTCAATTTTCACTATCTGGACAGCGACATACGCTGGCATATGCGGACAGCAGCTGCCGGATTTCTGCCTCCTGGGGTTCGGCGGATTACTCAAGTTCCTACGGTACCTCTATGTACCTGGTAACCATTCCCACTTCCAGTGCCTAGGTTGCACGGGAACAACTTGCAGCTACGGAATCACAACAGACCAAGGACGAGAAGTGGCTTAGATCAAAGCCGGGGGTTTTCAAGATGGACGTATTAAGAAGATACCTATGTAGGAACGGCGCAGGCAAACTGACAAAGCATCACCAATGTTTCCCTTCTGTGCCTTCCTTCCCAGTTCTCATCAACGCCCAAAACTGTCCCCTCCGCCTTCCACCTTCCACTTGCATCAAATTTATCCTGAAATTGCCTAAATCGGCAATCATTCAAATGTCACGGGAATGACTGAGTTCCTCGTAATTCAAATTAATGAACGTGTATCAAGTATCTGCGTTTCGTTCGTTCTTGCAGTTGGGTGACCGGATAGTTCGAGGTAGGAACTCTGTATGTGTACTAGGAACAGAAAGCATTAAAAATAAAGAGAGCACGGACTTGCGTTGTAATTTAAGGGTAACAAGACCTCGCCTCCCAGTTTGTCCACTTCCAATTTTCAATTGTGATGCCTTGATTAGAGAGCAGTGACAGCCGTCGCCAGGAATGTACCTATCTATTCCAACTACCACGTCGCTTCTATCACCACGTATAGTGTTGTGGCTACTACCTATACCTAGGTAGATAGGTACTGTACACTACTGCTCTCACTTCTCCCTTTGCCTTTCCTATTTCCTTCACTTCCATGCCTTCACCTCGTACATCTCTTCCTGATTGCTAATTCCCGACTCTCTCTTTACCAGTTTCCCTTTCCAGGTTCTCGTTCTCCATCTCACAACACAAACAATATTCTATATCTCCCATCAAACGTTGCAACAGCTAGACCATACATACATGTACATGCCAACCAAACCTAAACCTGCCCGTTCAGAAAAAAAGTGGTTGTGCAACATGAAGAAGGTTCCATTGTTACAGTAGGAAGGGCATGAGCGTTGTATGCCTCGAATACCGGAGGCGTGTTTGTCGAGGTCGGGTATGTCGAAGCCGTGTATTTCGGAGTTCGAGAAAGTGATCGACGTCTTCTGGGGCGCTCGTGCACCTTCTTCAACGCCTCCCATGCTCCTCGTTTCTCCTCCTTGCACGTCTCCTTAAAGGCCGCAAGACATTCTTCGAGTGCGTGGGGAATGGGTGAGACGATGGCTCGGAGCTTGTTCCTGTGCTTGTGATCTTTGTGGTTGTTCTCGTGGTTGTCCTGTGCCCGCTCTTGGCTCGTCTACACCTTGCCTTCGAGCACGAAGATGATTCCCACGCTGGAAAGTGTGGGAATACGGGGTGTATGAACGAGCCGAACAGCTTTCGTTCTGCTTGTTGCAGGTGGAACAGGTATTGGACTTGGAAATACCACTGGTGACGTTGGAGATTGAAGGGTAGATGTTCTTTTTTGCGTCTGTGTCTCTGGTATAGACTGCCGCAATATGTGACAGGGTCTCAGTGTTGGAGTTTGTGGGTGTTGTGGGCTCTTGAGACTCAAGAGACATAGCGGTAACACAGCGTTCGAGTGGAAGCTCGCCGTTATCTGAGGCTTCTTCTACGGCGGCGTAGAAACGACGTGGATCATTCTCAGGCGTGTTCTGACAATCTTGTGTCAATAGTATTGTCCTAATATTTTTTGGAAGCTGCCACTGGTAAACTGGGATTGGTCGTACCTTCTTGTGTCTTACCTGTAGCTCTTCGTCCCTCCCCCATGTCTCCTTAAGGCTGGAGTTTTGACCCTTCCGAGAACGGGCTGCTTTGGTAGGTAAATCGCAAGGCATGACAAATGATTCGTGTGTAAAGTGGGTAGGTAGTAACGATCGGTGCGTGTAGGAGTTGTTGGATGAGTCTTGCTACCGGAAGTACCAGTGAAAACAGGTGTTTGGAGAAGTTGTTCGTTGAGACTTGCTATCGGATTGGAAGGAGAGTGTGGAAAAGTGGAAGAACAGGCAAGGACACTCAAGTTGCAATCATTTAATACCAACCCAAAAAGTCAAAAGGACAGTTGTCCGTGGGGACATTAAAGTCACGCATGCAGGAATCAAAGAAGGCATCATCGAGCTCTTTGATCGGAGAGGCAAAATGCCAGAAAAAAAAGTAATGCAGGTACGGACCTCGATAAAATACCAGGAATTCGGGACTTGCATAGCTTTATGCCGGCAGCACCACCACCACTGACACTGCGCTCACACAGGTGCATACCTCTACGGAATTAACCTAGGAAATGGTTTCGGAGACGAAAAAGTGGAATGGATTGACCAAGATTTTGGAGGGGGGTAGGTAACGTACCTACCGTAGAAACTCGCGAAACTTAGAAAAGGCCTTTCCTCTTTCAGCGCCGGCATATGGCAGAAATCTGCTAGAAACCTGCCAGAAACCTGCCCCGAGGGCACGCATACACCAGCACATGTACCTTTCCAGTTATTGAATTGAAAAGGGAGGGACATTATCCTCTAAACTAACTTGCACACATTCGAAGGCACAGTGACTAGCCTGATCCTGCCAGCTTCCTGTACATATGCCGGCGCTCAAAGACAAAGAGGGAAGGCCTTTTCTAAGGTTCGCGAGTTTCTACGGTAGTCGTACCTCTGATACACAGCCCCGGAGAAGGTCTCCAACCGACTGGAAGTCAGAGGACACTCCAAGAATTCCGGCTACGCATCTTGACTTGGACAATGCAAAATAAGTTTACTTCTAGAACGCAAGATTGAGTGTCCAGGTGCTCGGTCAACTGGAAAAGTAAACGTCATATTGTTAAGTTCAACTTGGGCCATCCTGCATCGGATCACGTTCAATCTGCCGCCCACAACTGGCCTGCAACCTCCAGCACCCCCTTTCCCCCCTATCAATGCCTTTTGTTGTGGTGACTCCAACAGTCCACTTCTTCTAGAAACTATCAAATGCGTCGGAAACGTCAGCGTCTTTCGAGTTCGGGGGATAGGGGTCATAGTCGTCGTACTCATCGTAGTCATCATATCCGAGCATTTCCCGTTCCCTTGCCTCCATCTGGTCCTCTTCGTATTTCTCAAGCCATTCATCCATCGTCAACATCTTTTTGCCCGACTCTGACCCCCAAGGTCCGAACCTCTTATTCTCAGACTGGGGTTGGTACGCAGGGCCGCAAGCTTCGACCACGCGACGCGCGCTCTCATCCATTGCCTTTGCCAGCCATTCTTTACTGGTGCGCTTGGCATAGATGTTGTGGAGCGCAGGTAGGCAAAGAACATCGTTGACGCAGTACTGCATCGTTTTGGTGTCCAAAGGGCGGCAGGCGAAGACGTCGTTGTTGGTCATCAAAGCCCGCACCTCCCTCTTTGTTCTTATCCAGCGTTCCTTCTCCGTCCATTTCAGTACCAGATCGCTCTGAACACTTTTGTCGAGCCCGTGGAGGTATGTCTTATCCCCGACGCGGGATGCGTTTTCGAGGAGCTGGATGTCTGTGACGCCCGCGAGACGGACCTTGTGGTGCGCCCAAAGGGCGTCCGCGTCGTTGCGTACGTCCCAGAAGCACTTGGAAGTTTGAGGGTCCTCAAGAATGGCTTTGAGGGTTTTGCCGTCTGTGCCGGGAGTGGTGAACGCAGAGTCACCAAGGATTTGGACATCGATAACGCTTGCTGCTTTCGAGGGAAGGACGTGTACCGTCAAGAGGGTAAGCGTCCCGTTGCGGCTGAGACTTTTGCCCTCAAGATCCAGATAAAACGTGCTGGACGGGGGGATGGAGGAGAGGAAGACCTGAAGGTCTGGAAGGGATGAGATCAAGGTTGGGGTCGCCATTCTTGACTTGGGAAGGGTGCGTCTTGCGGATGGTTTAATAAGTCGAGGGGAGCCTGCTGCTGTCCCAGAACGCAACTTAGTGTGGAGTTGGTGTATCTTGATCTGTCTGACGGGCAAGTTTGTTGCCAAATTTTTATTCAGACAGAAATGCATGATGTAGAAATTGAACTGGTCTGGGTCATCTCATCTACTTATGGAAGTCAAGTGGAAGGCAGACAAGTACGAAGTCGGGCTCCTGGATAGGGCACATGTGGATACTCCGAGCCTGATTCTTAGAGCTGTGGTTGGATTGTCGCTTTCAACGCCGCCATCACCATGTCTCGCGTGCTGTGGGCCTCTGGCATAAAGCTCTTTCGGCCAATTGACTCATCTACAAACGAAGGTCTTAGGTGCTGGGCCAACAGTGTGTTGCAAGCCAACCACCATGTTTACACCGTATGTTCCCGAGCTCAAACGTCTTGACGAGTTCAGCTGCAACTTCCCGATTTGAGCTTCCCTTCCGACAACTTGGTGACAAACGGACCCCCGAGACGCTGACTATGTACGAACAAGACTTCGTCAGCCCGTATCTCTACCATATGAGCAGAAAGAAGAAAGCTGATTGTGGATTTGAAACCAGCGTACTTAACACTGTCATAAAGAAGTTCATCATATTAGTATAAAATGGTTCTTTTCAATTGTCGTCTGTGGTTTCGAAGGTCCGTTTGTCCAAAGTTGTGGTCAACTCGATTCGCGGGAAGTTACAGCGATCGTTAAGACGTTGCAAAGCGGAAGAGACTCAATTGCAAAACGAGCCATTGCAGCCACTTTGGTCACCAGGTGGACACTCGGCATTTTTTTCCCTAACTTGGACGGCGCAGGCTGAGCGGAATTCAGGAGACCGACTGGAACCAAACGCATAAATATTGAAGGGATCCGGTACATTCAACTTTCTCTTCAACGGTTGCCAGTCATGACGGATGTTGCAAAACATGCCGGCTCAACATCTTAGGAGCAGTGCTGCACACAAGGCAAGCCTCCTCAAGGCAAAGACGAGTCAATTCTAGCCAAGTCAAGGGAAGTCTGGAGGTTGGCTTGCCTTGTATGCCTTGTTAGGCTTATGAATTTATAACCTTAATTTTTATACTAAAAGATTGCTTTCCGGCGGACCGAGTATCGGTTTTGAGCTTCGTAACCTGGGGGATAATATACGTATGCAGCATATAGGTATACAAGCCAACAAGGCAAGTCAGAAGGCAAGTCAGAAGGCAAGTCAGAAGGCAAGTCAGAAGGCAAGTCAGAAGGCAATTCGTAAGGCAAGGCAAGTCTGACCCCCGACTTGCCTTGTGTGCAGCACTGGTGGCCGAGAATTCCTTAACCTGTGAGGAGATTGCCGAGTACAATTGGATCACCGGCGGTATGATAGATTTCGCCGGCAGCGATATTCGGCTACTTGGGGTCCTTGGAACTTGAAGTGAACACCCGACGCCAGGTCTACCTAGATGCAGATAACTGGCCGCCTTTGGAGGCCTTTGGAAGGATCACTGACTGAGTTGAGCCAAGGTACATACTTCGAGTCTGGTCTGTCTCCCTTTTAGGAAACTTTCATACAGTGTATGACCCTCAGCTGAATGCTCTTCACTCTTCAAATCATCTAACCCAAAACTAGGTACATACCCCAGATTCGATGATGGAGGTTGGCTCGTTTCGCATTCCATTGGCTGTTCAAACGGATCATTACCTTTTCTTGATAACAATGAGACACACCGTGGGTCTTGGATATGGTGGCATCTCTTTTGTTGCCCAGCCATTCGTAGCCGGATCCCCGCTTGCTGAAGTTGATGTTGAGGGATGTTTTCTGTTCTATTGTTACTTTCTTCTCTTCTTCTTCTCTCCCTAGAGGTATTAGCAGGGTTCACGGTGGAAAAAGTGCGGTTATGCTTGTTGTTAGTGCTGTTCGCGGGCGGTCCCCATTCATACAAGACTCCGCACGCGCTACACTACAAATCATAACGCACGGCCCCAAAACTGCACTTTTTCTCTCGCAAAATAATCGTTAGTGCTAACAGAGTGTTCTACATGGAATTTTAGTGCTTCCATTTGCACGACGTCCATTTCAGCATTAAGGACTTCACTTACCTTTATTCCCTTCCTTTCAGTTACGTTGGCGTGCACGTTTTCCTGCCCAAAGCAAGCGTGGTCCAGTCCAATGTGACCCCCGGAGATAGTATGAATCTAGATCACCATATTATGCCAATAGATCCAAATAGCCGCACCGGGAGCGCTAGCCGTTCTGGGCAGACGTGGCCACTCAAAACCTCAAAACGGCGACCGGTTCTCAGCTGAAGCGAGGGTTTTGGAGGCGAGGGTATCATCGACCGTTCAAGCTGAAAGCTGTCAAGCCCCGAAACACCAATCGGCCATATCGAGGCTGAAGGCCATGTGCCCCATTATGGCTGGCTGATGATCTGATATCTCGAGACATGGCTTAGGATGATCTCGAAGGGTCATGGTTTGGTCTTGCAGGCACAGGTTTTGTTGATATAATGGTGTAAGGACGCTGAGTCCAAGACTCAAGTTGCTGTGTTGGATCTGGATCTGGAGCACAACAACAGCCACCTCAGTGAAAAAAATAATCCAACGACGGTAAGCTGGCAAATCGAACTCACGTACCTCTACCTCAGCCAAGCGGTCGCTAGCCCATATCCAGGACTTCACCAACGAGTTCAATTGGACAAAAATGGCAGACAACATCAACACCAAGCAGACGGACGAAGTCAACAACATCAACAAAAAGATGGCCGAAACAACCATCATCGCCGACCTCCTCACCCACCTTGACGGTTCTGGAATCCCCACCTTCACGCCTTCGGGCCCCAACGCCGCCGGCATCAGGGAATACGAACGTTCCGTCGCGACCGCCAACCTGCTCTACCGCTTCACTCGCCCCGCCTGCGTCGTCCAGCCCGAGACCCGCGAGCAAGTCTCTCACGTCATCAAACTCGCAAAGAACCTCGACGTGTCCGCCACCATCAAATGCGGCGGCCACTCCTACGCCGGCTTCTCCACCACCAACGAAGGGATCCTGCTCGACCTGGTGCGGATGAACAGAGTCGATCTGGACGTAGAACAAAACCTCGTTACGCTGCAGGGCGGTGCGCTATGGGGCCATGCTTACAAGGCGTTGGTCAACGGCCGGCATAATGGTGTTATTATTAACGGTGGACGGTGTCCCACCGTTGGCGTCGGCGGGTTTTTGTTGGGGGGAGGATTGGGTCCGTTTACGAGGAGTTTTGGGATGGGGTGTGATACCCTGAGGGAGGTGACGCTTGTTACTGCCGACGGGCGGATCGTAACCGTTGGCGATAAAGACGAGCCAAGTTCGGACGAGGGCATGCTCTTCTGGGCGCTGCGTGGTGCCGGCGGAGGCAATTTTGGTGTGGTTGTTGAGTTCAAGATGGCCCTCTGCAAGCTGAAGAACGAAGAAGGGCTGGTGGTGGCGGGACGGTACACCTGGTTTCCTAAGCCGGAGGCAGAGGCGATGGATGAGTTCATGAGTACCATGGAGAGATTCTACACAACCGATTGGCCGGATAGTCTCACGATCGATAGCTCATGGCTTTGCGACCTCAAGCAGAGCGGCGGCAGCGAGCTCGGCGTGCGGTTTCTCGTCTACTACGACGGCAGCGAGAAGGAGTTCGACGCGCTTATTGATAACAAGATCAAGGAGACGAACCTCGCAAAGCAGCTCAAGCGCCGCACCCTGCAGGAAAAATCGACCCGTTTTCTGCATGAGACATTGGCGTCGCAGTGGTCCGAGGAAACCATCAAGGCGTTTCCCTCTGGTCCCGAGATCTCGTACAAGCTCTATACCTCATTCGTGTTCAGGATCAGGAAGGACGACGCCGACGACTCCCAAAAACTCATCAGCTGCGTGATCGCCATCATCAGACAAGAAATGGCCGCCTTCCGGCGCGAATTCAACGGCGAAGCAGGTCTGCTGCAAGTCACCCATCCACGCGGGCGGGGAGGCCAACGCAAAGAAGCGGTCGGAGACTGCATTCCGCTGGCGTGACTGCACGTACCACGCATACATCATGATTGAGTGGCAGGAGAAGTGGTTGGAGATGGACATGCGGGAATTCATGCAGAAGTTCAAGGAGAAGCTGAGACCATTCTCCGTGATGGGGTGTGCCGCCTTCATCAACTTCCCCGACGCTGCGGTCCAGTCGGATGCTAGTGAGAGGGTGTACTATGGCAACAACCGCCAGAGGTTGCGGCGCATCAAACAGATTTGGGATAAGGACAATTTCTTTAAGTGGAATCAGGGGATTCGCCTTCCAACTATCTCTTCTACACAGTCGGAAGGCAGGACTGCCACCAATTCTTCAAAGGCCAAGGCAGCCCCAAAATCTCATCCAGATGAAGGGGTGATTAAGGCATCTACTTTCCAGTTGATGTCGGAGTCTAATTCAGCATCGCCACCTTCTTTGCTTGCCGATGATGGCAGGTATCAGTTGTTGAGTGATGAGGGCGAGATCGTGGAGATCGAGGAGCAAAAGCTCACGGACGTATATGCGACAGAACAGTGGGACAGCTTTGATCACCCAGAGGCGAGCGGGGAGATCAACTACAGTGTGCTTGGCAAAGGTATCATTGACTTGAGCGCCTTGGGATTCTAGTCTGGTCTGACTAAAGAAGGATTAGTACTTGTGAACTTGAAGGGGCTGTGTGGGAGAAAGTATATGGAGATAAGCTAATAGCAATATACTGATTTTTCTTTTACCCCATCAGAGCACCTGTCGTGAAGCTTATTCGAGCAGCACACAATATCCGATATAGTTGACCAGTCCTCCATGGAAACACCGTGCTTGTCTGCTCTTTCCCGTGTGATCAACATATTGGAGATGAAGCCAGTCAGCGATTTCTGTTTGCGATGTCTCGGAGCAGCCTTTCCACCCTCCCCATATTCCCGTCACGGTCGCTTTGGCCCCCAAGGTCGCGTTGACCCTTAAGATCCTATTGGCTCTCAAGGTAACTTTGGCTGTGAACGTTTGGAGGGTCGTCCTCTGGAACTAAGCCTTGTCGCACGTTCTCGCAACGCAAAATAACCCTGAATCTCGAGGAAACCATCGACGGCGAAGCCGACCCTGGACCTGTTTCTTTTTAATTAAGACCCGAATCTCAGTCTCTTCCGAGGGACCTGGGACCACGTTCGAGTGTAGCCCCTCGATGTTATTGAAAAACCCGGGCGCAGGCCTAAGATGCTTGTTTTCAGATGGTACGATACTGCAAGTCAAGGCTATTCCGCTCCACTTGAGAATCAGAATGTAGCTTGCACATTCGAGCTCAATGGGTGGACTCTTTTCGACAACAGCCAGCCTGAAGATAAGAGCTTCACCCTCGTTCAGCACGTATTGTCTGTGTGTGTCGTCCCCATCACCATGGATGCCACGATATACATCCAAGGGTACTGGGAACTTGGTGCGGGCTGCCACTCCAAGAATATACCTCAACTTGGCGCCGCTGTTAATTTGTGCGCTCGCCCTTATAGCTGACATCCTCGCAACATAGGCTTCAGAGATTATGTAGTCGTAGTAATTTTGACGACCGCCCAAGCAAAACAAGCAAGGGTCCAACTCCATGTCTCCCAACGAGACAAGTATAAGTATTTGTATGGGTCTTGCCAAGCCACAGCTGGGACTAGACAAGTGTGATGACGGTCCTGCTACTTCATCCAGAACAAGAATGTCGTGGCGGCCCAAGCTGACCCAGACGTCGGGATTTACGCTCTGCCAGTCGAGGCATCGATAACCAATCTTTCTGAAAACGGCGGGAACAGACTTGCCATAAGCCCACTGGTCGGGAGTTCCAACTGAGTCGAAACGGACACCTCGCAGGAGGAGCACCTTTGGTATGGCTGCTGGGTGTGTCATGTGAGTTGGCGGCGCCTGTGCGCAATTCAATCGTATCAGATAGACCACCCCAGTATCTCTGGAGGATATCACTCTTTTGAATAACTCAGCATTGAGGCTGAGTCCCGCGTTCGTCATTTCAAAGCGGAATCGGGCGTCATGACGACAAGTTTGGAGCCCGGTTGATTCCGCAAAGCAATTTGGTGAAGGGGCTAAAACGGGAGCCTCGCTATCTTGCAGTACCGATGTCAGTTCCCAGCCTGCAAAAAAAAAGTGTCAGTCACACGTGTGTTGGATCATCAAGGAAGCTGGACCATATTTGTACCTGGGGTAAGAGTCAGGCGCCGCATGAGCCACGGCGTCCCGGCCAATCGGGCCAACTGTGTACTGCTCCCCAAAGATCGAAGCCCGGGGATCGTCTCTCGAGGCCGTATGGAGCCTTGTCGGGTGTTCCAAACGAAAATTGACTCGTCGTTATAAGTTCGTATGAGCTCGTGCTGAAGCCTAATTAACGCATGTTCCCCTTCACCGTATATCAGGGGCATATGAACACCCAGAAAGCCCAACAGACTGTAGGACTGATCCTCAATGCGAGTTGTTTGCCTGTTTGCAGCCCATGAGAGTTTGGTGGCTAAGCAACAGTGGCGAAAGCTGGTCAGATGCTCGCGTCAGATGTGTGTAGCTCTTTCAATCTCCACGTCCCATTCGTTCCGTGATCCGATATAACTCCAACCACCGTCGAAAAACTCCAGAAGATTTGGGGCCAAGAGCTCTTGAAGAGTCCATCCCCTGGTGAACCACCGGCTTTTTTCAAAGGCTTCTTCAAGCTTTCTCGGGTTCTGCCCTTTGGGAATTGACACATCGGCCAGATGGACATAGCAGATTATGGATGACTGGTACCAGCAGAACATCCCCGGATGAATGTCTCCAACTCGAAAGAAGTAGTGTTGAGGAGTCTCATCTCGACGTGCAATTTGGTACCGATTGGGAATCTGAGCCTTGGCTTATGGACGATGAAGGAATGAACCGCGAATGAGATTCGGAAATTTGAGCGAAGAACAGCTCGGCCTGGCCTGACGCGTTTTTGACTGCTCGCAGACGTGTCTTTTGCTGCTAGCAAGATTTTCAGAACTGTTTTCTGCAATGGTTGGACAGAAAAGCAACGGTTGAGGTGGCTGAAGCAGAAGACTTTGGTGAGTACTTACCAAATGAACCGCATTTGCGGCCTACCATCCCGACACATATGCATCTCAAGCGGTGCTTCAGCCACATCTGCGCCCAACGGTCAAGAAACAAGGTCATCACAAGGCAAAACCGAGGACATTAAGGGGAGGTATCTGGACGACTGGTTGTAGGCTTATTCCTGCTGCAGCCTCAAGAGGGTGCTGAGACGGACCATCTACAGACAGGCCGTGAGGTATGACCGATGAGACAGATGAAACACAACTGAAGTGAGTAGAGAAACCTGATGACTTGGTTTTCTGGTTGGAAAGGAACAAACTCAGAAGAAGTGAACCTGGGGTCCTGGACTTCCTGACAAACCCGCCTCAGATGTCCTAGAGAAAAACTGGGGTGGGCGGCGACTTCCCGATAACATGTTAGCAGATCGTGCGCCTAATTCGTCATCAACTGAACAGGAAGACGGGAGCAAACCAAAGAACTTCATTGAGCCAATACTAACCAGAAGGAAAGAAACATCCAGACAAGAACCGCTCGTCAGAATGATCATGCCGGAAAAAGCCACTCAGCAAAAAAGCCCGAGAAGATCAGAGGCATTGGACGTGAGCATCGAAGACACGAGCTCTCTTCCGAGCTTCACAAATTATTTATGCCGGATTCCAGGAGATAATTTGGTAGGCAGGCCATCTACGGGCATGTCACGAGGAGGTCTGAGAGGGATGAAAACTCATTGAGTTCATAGTTGATGAGCTGGTTGTTTGTTTAAAGAGAAATGAGAAGAAGTGACCTTGCAAATCCAACGTCAAATGTTCCCCAGAAGAAAACGCGCGGCGGGTAACGACTTCCAAATGGTAACAACCGGTTGTATACCTACCTACTGAGGACGACGCGAGTGAAATGCAATGGAGACGGGAGCTTGAGCCTATGCTTACTTCTAGTACCGCGAGGAAGGCAGGACCTGTTACCTAAACGTTAACTGTCAGAATTCTGTCGTCACGGAAAGTGCGGCCCAGTAGATCGATCGTGAAGAAACACACACTGCCGGTGGACAGGAGTGAAGATGCGAACGCAGTAGGCGTGACAGGCAGAACAAGACACGGTCATTTGAACAAAATCCAAAAACGCTTGAGCTTGCTATATTCAACCATCCATCCAACCACTTCCTTATACAACACTCCCAGCGAGTCATCTATTTATCCCAAACCTCCCTTGCCTTCGCCGCCTCTTCAGCAGCCACTATAACCGCGGGTGACTGAAGCGGTGATGGTGATGGCGATCGGGACCTGGACCGTGACCTTGATCTCTCCTTTTGTGTCGCTGTAGCCTCTTCTGTCGTCTTGGTGATCGTTAACGGTGCTAGAGCCGGTACTGGAACTGATGTGGCAGTCGCTTCCGTCTTATCATCCACTGAAGCTGCTGTTGTTACCGCTGTCGTTGCCGGTACTGGGGGATCCTCAAGTGAAACTTCTTCCATACCCTTATCATCCTGCTTCGTCGTCGTAGTCGTAGTCGTCGCCGTAGTCTTCATCGCCTCCGGGCTCGCCACATTCATCAAATTCACCGTCCCCGCTGGGCTCGCGACATTCATCAAATTCACGCTCCCTACCGTCCCAGCTGTACCAGGCCGTGATCCCGCTCCCGCACCACTACCAACCGGCTTCCTCGCAATCCCGCCCCTCACCCTCTCAGGACTTCCAAACTCACTCCCGCTAAACCCATCCTCACTCCCCGCCGCATCCAACATGCTCTCCCCACTCAACGCCCGTCTCCTAAACTGTCTCGACTGCCCACCGCCACCACCACCACCGCTACCACCAGTAACACTACTATTTCCCGTCCTAGTAGTTCTCGTCGACTCCGGACTACCCGTCGCTAGCGGTAGAGCCGCATAAGCCCCGTTGCGGGTAGGAGATTGGGGCATGAACGTTTCTCTTTCCTCCGATGAGCCCCCGCCACCGCCGCTGAGGAGGACCGAGGTGCGGTTCTTGAGGGCTTTGGACCAACCCCATCCTCCTTTCTTTTCCTGTTCTTTTTCCTTTTCTTGTGATTGTGATTGGGTTGATCCAGTCTGCGAAGCGGTGTCGGATGATGTCGTTTCTGTGGTGCCGGTAGTACCGGCGGTACCAGAGGAGGTAGAACGGATAGGCGTAGTCTCGGTAATCGGTGTCGTTGGCGCCGAGCGGCCCCATCCTTTCCTCTTCTCGCCTGCCCACGCAGTCCAGCTGCTCACAAAGGCGCCGGCTTTGCTGCCTACTGTTGACACGGCTGGCGCCAATCCTCCTTGTCCTTGTCCTTGTCCTTGGCCGTTGCCATTCCCGTTCTCACTGCCACCCTTTTCGCTACTACCCTGCTGTTGTTGTCCATTCCCATTCCCACCAGCTGCCAGATCAGCCTGCCGCTGCTTCTCCGCCTCCTCCGCCGCCCGTCGCCTCTGCTCCCTCAAAGCCTCCATGTCCGCATACAGCTTATTGAACATCGTGCTCGCCTTCTCCTTGCCCGCCTGCAAATTCCTTCCCAGCACCTCCTTCCCGACCGCAAACCTTTCGTCAAGATGCAAATCCTGCACCTGCTGCGCTATGCGCCTCTGCACATCATCGATCGTCAGCCCGCCGGCGCAGGGGTGTTTAGGCTCCACGATGTCGAACAGGTGGGAGTCCGTATGTCCGTCCCAGATCCGGTAATTCTCCGTGCGCTTCCAGGCCTCGATGAAGTCGGCGTTGAAGTCGAGCGAGGGGTCCCCTTCGATGTGCGGGAGTAGCATGCGCGGGTTTTGGGCGTGGATGGCGAGGTGGTTGTGGTATTTGACCGAGGAGATTAGTGAGAGCAGGTATTCTTCGAACTGCAAGCGGATGAACTCCTCGGAGCCGACGTAGCCCATTGTTTTCGGCATGCCAGGGTTGGCGTCGTCCCATGTGTCGTTGACGTTTTGCGTGATGAAGTCGATCCAGCGGCGGTCGGGGGTCGACAGGGCCAGGGCAGACTTGAGGCTGGTGGAAGTAATGTTAATCGAGTCTTCGTCGAGGTTGATCAGAATATCAGAATATCGGTCCTTTTGTTGTAAAAGCAGCGAGTTGGTGCTGCCGACGATGTAAGACTTCGTCCCAAAGTCCGCTAGGACATCAAGCTGCTGAAGGGGGGTATACGGCCCGAACAAGCTTCCCTTGCCGAAGATCTGAAGCGGCAAGCCCATGTACGCCAGCAGCGAGTTGCGATCACTAGTCCGCAAGCTCGTCGGCCGCTGCAGTTTTCTTTCGTAGTTATCCAGCTCCGGACCAGCCGAGTCTTGCAAGTTCCTCAACAGCCCCGGAATCAGGCTGATCAGCGAGAACTGCATCATGCAGAGCCTCTCGCACCGCGACCCGAAGAACAACATCTTGGGCTGGAGCAGACAGCACTTGAGCAGCACGAGCGTCTGCCACCGGAACTCGCGCACCAGCTCCCGCAGGCTCATGCCGAGATATAGATCCCTGTCCTCCTCCTTCTCGCCCAGCAGCGTACCGCGCGCCTTCTCGTCCGCCAGGCTCTCCTGGAAGCGCCGGAGGATCTCGACGTCGGTGAACTCGCGCTGGGCGAACCAGGCCTTTGTGACGACGCTCAGACGCTCGCGCAGCATGCCAAAGTACTGCGGCGAGTCGGCGATGATGACGACGGCTTTTTGCACGGTCGAGCGGGTGACTTCGGCGGGGCGGTTGAGCAGCTGGGAGGCGTCCATCTGGCGGGTGCACGAGATACCGAAGAGGGAGGTGGCTTCGGGGTCGGAGGCGGTGGCGGGGCGGAGAAGGGTGAAGTAGGAGAAGTCTTCTGTTGCGCTGTGTCGTTGTCCGATGTGTCAGTCGTCATGTCTGCCCTGAAGAGGAGAAAGGGAAATGGAAGAAACCTACGCGTGAGCACCATCGCTCAAAGCCATGAACGGCAACAGTCCCCAGTCATACTCGGCAGCTGGGTCGCTACCCTCGGGCACGCCGAACCACGTCTCGACTTCGGGGCCGCGCGCATGGTGGAAGTCGACGACGGCGACGAGCGGGGTGAAGCCCGGCTTTCTCTCTGTTGTCGGTGTAGGCGGGACAGACATTGTCTAGGCTGGGTATCCGGAATCCGGAATCCGGGGAGTTACGACGGGTATGTATGTATGGGATTGGGCTGCAGGATGGGGGCAGAAGAGGTGAATCCAATGCTTTCCACCAAAAGCTACCGCGCGCTTCGCTATGTGGCTCGAATCTGTCTCTCTCGTGGTCGCTAATTCAAGATATCTCCATGTGATAGGTGTATATAAGAGTGGCGACAAAGAGAATGGGGGAACTATTGTTGTTTAGTCGGGTTGTTATGATCTTGGATTGAGGTCAGAAATGGCGGCGTGATAGGTAGGCGGGCCAAGCAAATGCCAATGCCAATGCCTCGATGTCGTCGTTCACTGATCAGGGGGTATGTGTCGGGTGCATAAACAAATATCCTGACAATAATGTGCTGTTTCTATAAACATCGAAACATTTCCATACAGTCCTCGGCCTGGTCTTTCGAAGAACCAAGGAAGTTTGTGTTGAAGAGGATGGGAGGATTGGAGCTTCTCTCCGACAATTCGACGAGTTCGCGTTCGTGACAATGGGCTGGGCGGCTCGTGCTTCGTTCCCACCGCCTGGAGACGGGAACCCACAGCGCTGAACAACACCTCAAACCCTACGTGATGAGAGATCCTGCGGGGTGGCAGCCTCCAATTGGTTGACCTTCCATGGGTTTGCATCGCCGAGTCCAACAACACATCGTTTTAATCTATCCATCTATCTGTACAGTATCTCGATGCTGATGATGGAAACCAAAGTTCATGATGTTTCCTGCTTTATCCAGTCCTTGTCCCTTTTCTTTCCTCAAGTCAATGCTTCATGCAACTAAATACAAGGAGTCAACCGCAAGATGCGGGCGGCATAGTATGTGTGCATCGGAATAGGCATCCATCAAACCGCCTAACCGTGAGGCTTGGCGCTAACGAGAAAGACGGGATGTCGACGGCAACGGTGGTGATAATGAACACAAACACCCGAATTTCCCTTCCTATCCGCCGACCAGGGCTATGGGTTCTACACTAGGTCAACGGTCATCAAGGGCACAAATACATTTGCATCTCACCTATCCCTCCCCATCTGGCCCCGACTTCGACATCCCCGCGACCCCTTCACCCCCTCTTCACCCCCTTTTCACAGCCCCTGAGCTAAAACAGTGATCCTGGCGATCTCCGACTAAGAATGTATAATGCGAGCCCATTAATACTCCGAGGGGAGCTGCTGATACTGGAAAGTCTATTATGTACTCGAATTGCTGTAGAATTCCAACTCTATCCGGCCGCCTTCCCGGTCGACACAGCTACTTTCTCTCCATATCAATAGAGTCCGTTTGTCCAACATCAACTCCCGCGGAGAGATCGAAAAGCAGCCGTCTTCAAGTAACACATCCGTCCCTATCCCCAAACGCTATGCATGCCTAAGCTTTCCACCATTGGCAGAAATCGGTCGCGGTTCGACAGTCAACAAGCGCAAGCACCCTCTTTCGCATCCTGATTTCTTTCACTTCTTTGTCTTATTTGATCCTAACCCCAAATATCGCCTGTGCCTGTGTACGTGTATTCGCCATGCATGCGTCCCTCTCTCTAGGACATACTCAATTGCAATGCCCTTTCTTTGAAACCTCCCAAGTACCCGGGACCTGGATACAATGTTTTGATGTGTATCCGCTTCCCCGCTCTTCAAACATTGTAGACAAAAACAGACTCGGTAAACACCCAAAAAGTCGACCGAAGAAAAGCGGATTATGACGGTAAGAAAACATGTTGCATGATGTCGTGGTATCATGAAGCCAGGGGGACTTCTACCCCTGTATCGAACATTCGGGGTCATATTTCGACCCTGTCGTTGCCGTGTTTTATTGCACAATGTCCTCGGAGTACTCCATTTGCCCGGAGGCTTCGACATTGTGGTAGTCAAGGATCTCGGAGTACCTGTGGCTCGGTTAGTTGTTGGTTCTCAGCCCATAACATGAATAGGTGAACTCACATCATGATCTTCCATGTGTCCACCGGGAGATCGGCGTCGTTGAAACTCCAATCGAACTTCTCCTCGGAAACAGGCTCGTCGGTGGGATCGTGGTAGGGGGCAAGGTACTCGTGGGACAGGGCCTCGGTGGCAGTTATCCGCTTCTTGGGGTCAAAGACAAGCATGCGCTCGAGGAGGTCGACAGCTAAGACAAGTCAGTATGTTGTGTAGCCTACGATGGCCAGCGACCGAGACATACCTGAGGGATCGGCGTTCTTAAACTTATTCTTCAGGGGCTGACGCTCGCGCTTGGGGAGGGACTTGACGAATCTCAGGGTCTGATAGAGAGTTAGCAACGTTGTCGATGGGCCTTCGCTAGAGTGGGGGTACACACGTTTTCACTGGCGATGGTGTTGATGACATCGTCTGGTGGAGTGCCGAGAAGCTCGGTAATGATGGAGAACTGGTTGACGTGGTCCTTTCCGGGGAAGATGGGCTTGCCCTCGAGCATCTCGGCGAAAATGCAGCCGGCACTCCAGATATCGACCTCGACGTCGTACTTCTGCCAAGTGAGCATGATCTCGGGGGCGCGGTAGTAACGAGTAGAGACATAGCCAGTCATCTGAGGATCCTGGATGCGCGCGAGGCCGAAATCGCAAATCTTCAAGTCGCAGTTCTCGTTGACCAGGATGTTGCTGGGCTTCAAGTCACGATGAACAACACCTGCGGAGTGGACGTATTTGAGGCCGCGCTAAGCCTAAAGTTAGTGCTTCCGGTTATTATCGTGCGACACGTGGATGACATACCATGATCTGGTACAGGAAGTACTGAATGAATTGCTTCTCAAGAGGCCTAGAAGTGAGAAGTCTATGCAGATCAGTTCCGAGAAGCTCGGTAACGAAGTAGATATCCTCAAGAGGAGAGATGAAGATATCGCTCAGAGAGATGACCTGTGGCGCAGCAGGTTAGTCGCAAAGTTCCCTCAGCGTTTCTACGATCGATCACGGGGAACCAACGTTTTCATGCCTCAAGTGCTTGAGAAGCTTCAGCTCACGGTATGTACGCTTGGCGAGAACCGGTGTGCTGAAGGGCTTCATGATCTTCTTGATGGCGACATTCTGGTTGGTGAGCTGGTCTTTCGCGGAGCTGCGCGACAGATATCGTTAGCACGGTGTGTCTGGCGATATATCGAAATGGCGGGGCAAAACGTACCAGACGAGACCAAAAGCTCCCATACCAACGGGCTGGAGATCAGAGTACCTATCGCGGGATCAGACTATGAGCGCATAAAAGAGAATGGTTCGTCGCGGGAAGGCCAACCTCGAGGTGATCTCAAAGGTAGTTCCGAAGATCTGGGCGCGGATGAATTCGGCCATTGTGACGTGTGGTGTTTTATGACTTGGAGGTGTCGAGTTTGCGGATTACAGAACAAAGGATGGAGAGAGGATTGCCGGAAGACTAAGTAGCCCGGTGTCTGGTGGGAGCGCGGGGCAAGCTTGGCCGAGAGTCGAAAACGCAGGTCAAACGCGGTGTCTGATTCAGTGGCGACAATGAAGGGATCCGGTGATCGGGCGCTTCGTGTTTTGTGTAAGGAAGAAGAGACGAGACGTCGGCTGGTGGTCGGATGTTGGCTGCGTGGTGCGCACAACGAGGGAATCGGGCAAAGGCTGAGAATTCCTGAACGCGAACCCAAAACTGTGGTGTTGTCTTTGGAAAGAAAATAGAGTTTAGCTTGGGCACCGAGAGCAAAGTGGAAAGCTAAGTTGAAGGAGACCGAGAGCGAATGGGAGCCGAATGCAAGTGAGTGGGAAACAAGTGGACGCAATGGACAGAAAAAGGAATCCATCCCACTCCCACTTTCCCAGCGCGACCTGGGCAGCTCACTGGCAGCGGGCAATGTAGTGTGCGCCAGTCAGTTGCCAGGGCGGGGAAGTGCGGAGGGAATTGGCCTTTAGTGGTGGACCTTGTTCTGGTGGGGATCCGCCCGCTTACCTGCAGTAGTTCACTAACAGAACTGGGGCTTTTACCAAACTGAATTCGGATAGGAGGGGCAGCGACAAGTGGTTGGCAGGTGCGTTGCTTCGGCTCGGATCTCGATCGATGATTGGGATGCTGGCGCCGCAACAACTTGTTGTGTGCTACTCGATATGGAATGATTATCGCCGTGTCGTGTATGTTACGATTCTGGGTCGTCGGACGGTTGGTGAGATGTTGTTATTGTGTTGTTATAAAAAAAAGTCTTTTTGCTTTGCGATCGGAACGCAATTTGAAGTTAGAACCGATAGCCCCGCACTTTCCGATGATGGACTGCTTTTTCTGTAGTTGCACCTACCCGCACACTTGGCGAGTCTAAGTCAAGCTGAGGTCGAAGTCGGGACCCCTTTTAACCGAGGAATATTGTGATGAGGGTTTGGTTGGTGGGTTGAGGTTTATATAGGCCGACGACAACAACAACAGGTCCAAGACTGAGGGAGAACACGCAAAGCGAAGACGGTATCGCAAATGTGGCAGGAGCACAATGTAGGTTTGAAGAGGAGAGAAGCGGAGGAAGGACTTGCGAGGAAGAGGAGGAGCGAAAGCGCAGGTGATAAAGAGCGAGGAGGAAAAAAAAGAAGGATCTACGATCGGTATGGAAATACCTACCAAGTCAAGTCTCAGCTGCACCTGAACCTGAACCTGAACACCCGATGAGCCAGGCAAGGGTGGGTGGGTGAAGATGCAGCCAGCGAGGATTGAACGGGAGGCCGGGCTCACGGGCAAGGAAGTGGGAGAAACAGCTCGAAATGGTTAAGGCGCTACTTGCTTGTAGCAGCAGGGGCCGGCAACTTCCAATAGGGTTGAGTGAAAGATGAGCTGGCACCACCCTACCCTTACTCGAGACAAAGACCGGGAACACGACGCCGGGACTGGAGAACAGGATATGCTGAATTCGACCCGTCTTGTTCAAATTCCATGCTTTGGTTCATCCATTTTCCGCTTTTCTTTTTATCGTTGGTTGGGTACCTGTACCAGCCCCCTCCCCCTTGAGGTGCCCCCCTTCCACTTGAACTGCATAGGTACCCCTAGTGTGTCTCGTGTTTTGCATGTATATCACCATCCTCCATTTACTGCCGGTACTATATTCAACTGGATGCTTGGTCTGATATGTTGTTGTTGATTGTCTCTTTTTACTGCAGGGCCGTCTGAGAAGGCTGAGATGAGATAACCTCAATGGATGTCATGTTGATGTCTCTGTTTTGATATGCAGCTTTTATATGTAAGGTATGGATGTACAAGTCGAGCAATCATGCCTTCCATCTGCTTGCTTATTGCAAGGAGGTGTCTTTTCTTCTATGCACATACTGGATTCAGCTGTCTTTATAGCCCCGCAACTTGGACATAGGTAGCTTCTCGGTTTCCCATAATGTTGGGGTTTTGTCGTGTTACCATCAACCCTCAGTCAATGGGATACTTTTTAGAAAACACCCAACGGACCATATTCGGCCTCATCAACAGAAACTCATCTGATAGTGCATACATGTGGAAGCGACAGGAATGGTGTGTGCGGTAGGGTTTTGCTTTTGGTAGGGAAAACCGCAACGACACCTCATGGTGCCAAGACTGCTTGACTGGCCAGACGAGGGGAGCGAGGGGAGCAAGGGGAACGACGAGGGGGATGCCCGCTCTAACAAGGGGGTTATGACGTAGTTGAGAGGTGGGGCTCACCAGCATTAAAAGCAAGCGCTAACCACGACCCCTTGTCGCCGAGACATGCCAAAAGGCCCACTCCCGCTCGGCCTGGCAGGCAATCGCAAACCGCAAAGCCATCGCAAACTGGCAAAAGGGCCAATCCGGGGGGTTGCTTTGCTGAGCCCCTCCATTCCTCTGTTCCCTCCACATCGCGAATTTGGGCACAATCGGACTTTGATCGAGCTTTTCAGCCAATTGTCAATCTGGCGGTGACCCGTTCCTACTGTGGTACACCCATTCTCTCCCTTGTCTTGTGAGTGAACCGGCCGTTCCTCCGACTGCTGTCAACGAACCGAACATGGAACCGCAGTCACGCGCGGCTTTCCCCCTCCCGAAGTAGGTACCACTCGAACTTTGACTGACTTAATGAAAAAGAAAGCCATGATCATTGTCACATCGACAAGAAGGGCAATAAACAGGTTGTCAGGAAACGTGTCTGGAAGAAAAGCTCCGGCTTGTGGAACACGAAGGGGCTGGCGATTTACAATGCATACACCACATTTGCCATGAGGTTAGAGAGTATTCAACCGACAAGGTGAATGTCAACGGAGACACCTTGGATACTCTGGATTCAGGAAGCTATTTCTAACCAAGGAGACCAAGTCATTATCAAGCTCACTGCCAGTAGAAAACAAGATGAAACCGCTAACGACATGCCTTGCAGACGGTCCAAAGCTTGGACCACCCTCCACATATCGCACCAGCATGGCCTTTCCCCCAGCGCTTGGACTCAGCACTCAGGCACGCACGCAATTCTCATCCCCGGATGTCTTTTGACCATTTTTCAGCCTCCATGAGTCGGCTCGAAACATCAACCAGTGCACACAATGGCCACTCCACCATTTTACAATAGGCGCGTCATTGACCACGCTTCTCCTTCCTGGCAGTTGCCATACTCTCAATCTTGACATTCTTACTCTTGGGCTTTTCAAGTTGCCTCGTTTGGGTATCAACGCAAATGGCACGTATTATATGGTGCCGTCGTGGTTGTGTACAAGTAGAAGTCATTCAAACCACTACCAAAGAGACATGCACCTAGTACTCAACATGTTAGCCATCTCGATGATACCCCAAGACCCCCCAAGAGCCTCCAAAGATCCTAGTAGTTGGGTCTCAGACCACACACCACTCACAGCCTCCCAAGTCAAGTCTGACAAGGCCCCATATCAGAACCCCCCTCGGCGGCCCTCTCTTTTCCCATTCTGCCCCTCCATGATCGGAAATCGGGAATTTGCCTCTCAAGTCATTCCCAAGAAGAGACATCCGGTCATCACGCAACCTTCGACAACCCTCCTTGTCAGGGTCCTCGCCAAGACTCCCACTTTACACGCTTTAAGGGCCCCAACCTCCATCCATCCACTCATCCACATGAAGCCCATTACAATCAACTCAACTCACCTCTTTCCCCTCGATAGCATGTGTCGGCTGCCCTGGCGAATATTGGTTGATATTCACCTGCCACGCCTGCTTCCAGAGTAACACGTGTCGCACACAGTCTCACCGTTGTGTACCGTACAAGTTGCACGGATCACGGATTTCATTCCCGTGATCATCAGGGACCGAGACTGTCGGGGTGAGGTATACCGTCCGGTTCCTACCCACGGATACTGTTCTGGTTTTCCATCTCATCTTTCTTTTCGTTCCCATCGCTGTCCGACCTGTTGGGATCACGACCTTCAGATGATCTGCGTGCTACACCAAATCCCAGATCAAATCATGTTATCTTCACCCAGACCCCAAGTCAGACGACAGACCCCCATATCAGTCACCATACACACTCATTCTCTCTCACCTTCCCTCGCACGCCTCGGTGCTGAAGCTATAAACCTCAGCTTCCGCACATACAAAACCACCACCACCAACAATTGTAAACTACGTACCGAGAAAGTGCGGAATCAGAATGCCGTCATAACCAAGAGACCCCTGGTCCATTGTTCCGCTGTCCCTGCTGTCCCTGTTATCCCCAGCCGAGGGAAATTCAAGCAGAGAAAAAAAAAACCCTGTGCTGGACATCGACCGGTACCCTGCATGTTGAAACGGCGTTATTCATGAGCAGCCCCATCGCGAATACCACGCAACAATTCCGAATCTGTCCTAGCCTTGTCAATACCAGTGGGGTCAGGACGGGGAAGCTTCCAGGCCCATTTCATGCATGATGACGTCGTCAGGATATGGCGCAGCTAGTGTACAGTTAGCTACCCGCGAACTCGTTCAGGTCCAAGACGTCTTCCCTCCTTCCCGCTTGTCGAGAGTGTCCTTAACACTATTGGCGGTTTGACCCCCATGGGCCCCGTCGAAAACCCTGGATCAGTCACACGAGAGCTCAGAACCGGGAGGAGGATAGTCCCCTCAATTTATGATAGGGTCCACAACACGAGACTCTGCGAATGCTGCTAGGTGCTGCTAGTTTGCAGATGCGCAGGAAAAGCACGTTTTTCAAGGCAGAAAGCATGTCAAAATAATGACCACTATGCGTTGGCTTAGTTCAATCTTTTAATATCGACCAATGGTCAAGGACCTGCAAGTGTCTTGTCATCGATTTCACTCACTGCACTCACTGCCCATCCATAGTACACTATATCTCTGCATCGCAGCCAGGGTCCTTCATGCATAATGCAGCAGGCCCAGCAGCCGGAGATGCATACAA